TTGGCAGACCAAGTGATTTTCTTACATCAGCAGGAAATTAAAGAGTGTCAGATTTACGAGATACAGCAAGGCAGCTGAGCTGAGGCTGGGCAGGGTGCAGGTTAGAGCTGCATGCAGACTGCTGATATGCCAGGGATTGGTTTTCAGATTGGTTTTCAGCCACGTGGCTCCTTTTCCCCCCAGAAGCACAGTTGCTGCACAGTCAGAGTACATTTTTAAAAGATGTACTCCAATCCGTGGAAGTACAGAGAGAATCACTGCACAGTGCCAGGCAGTGCTGTTTGCTCTCATTTCAGCAAGAGCTCAGGCTGTTCCACCTGCCTTCCGGTGACCTGTCCCTCTGGGCTTCAGCACTCATCCTTGTGACCTCCAATAGGGAATGTATCCGGTCCAAAGAGAACCGAGAGGCTGTCCCTCTGTGTCGGGGGGAGAGAAGACCTGCAGCAGAGCCTTCTTAATGTACTACTTCTCTGGGTAGTGGAGTTTCTTTGGGCACAGAAGACTACGATCCATTCAAGTTGCCAGCCTCTCCCAGTGGTATTTTCTCACAGGGATTTGTTGCTCCAAGTAATGATCCAGATGGCCTTGTTGTGCTAGCAATTTGCAGGAACCCCACAAAGCAGCCCAGCTGACAGGGTGGTATTATGAAGCTGTGCAGTGCAGACAAGGTGGTGGGGTGCTGCAGCCTCCTTGTCCTGCTCCTTCATCCCATGGGTGCACAAGGTCCAACATCCCACCAGCTCAGTCCCGTTGCCAGGAAAGGGGAGTTTGCAGGGGAGCTCACACCCATGTGGGGGTGACTCCCGGGTGTGAGAAGTGAGATTTGGGAGGGTTAAATCATGGCTGTGGTTCTGGGTGCAGCACCCTTGCAGTCAGATGCTGTGTCCACGAGCAAGGTCATCCCCTCAGAAACAGCTGGTCTCTCTCGGGCCACCTCTCTGCATCCACATCACCCAGCCTCAGCAGGGAGCCATCACCCCCTGTGTGCTGACCCATGTGGTTGTGCAGCCCCATTGGACAGGAGCAGCAGCTCTCCTGCCCCAGGAACATGTGAGGGTTGACTTCACTGCCGTCTGCATCTTGGCCACTGCCGTTTAATAAGACTTGTCAAGCCTTGGTGTTAGTTCCACAGGTGTGGGGAAGCACAAGGACGCAGCAGAGAGATCTATAACAATTTGCAAGCCTGCTTTTCATGGACCAAAAAGGCTGTTGCTTTAGACCGTAACTGCAAGATTGGTGAGGAGCTGTTACGAATATATATGCTGGCTGATAAAACAGATGTAGGTGGTTTGTCTTTGTTCTGCACCAGCTTAAATTCTTGCATCCCCTGCCATTGGCAATTTGTCTTGGTTCTTTTAAATTCCTAAGTGGATTATAATTTTTCTCGTGGTATTATTTGACAACAGTCATATTTCATGGCTTTACTACATTCTTTGGATAGTTGGAATTTTTTTAAGGAAAGGAGCTCAGTAAGAGGCAGCCATCTCCAGGGCATGTCGTGTAATGCAGACATGGAAGAGAGAGCTGAAAATGTTCTTTGTGTTTTTGTGTAGTTTTTCTCCTCAGAAAATACAGGATTTGACCTGTCATGGTCTACAGCATCTAAAGCACCTTACTGCCCTGATGCCAGATGCAAATCCTTTAAATGCAGTAGCATGAGTAAATTCTTCAGTCTATTTTACTTCAATGACTCTGGAATACTCAGTCTAAAAACACGGTGAATTCTCAATATAATGAGCATGGCGTTAAGCTTTTCAGACATTAATGGGCTCAAAAATACAGGCATAAAACTTAGCTTATTTGCTTTTATCTGTGCATCAATTCCTGTCAGGGGGCATGTTTGTATAAAAACGATAGGGATCATTTCAGTATCGATTTACCGTGCTCCAAATATCACATTATTGTTTGTTAGTTTGTAGGAATATGCCATGTCTAATTAGGTTAGTAATGATTGTACTTAGCATAGGAATTGCAGCAACATAAGGAGACAGTAATCACACATTGCAATACCAAAATAAACATTTCTGTCCTAAGAATGTTGTCAGGTGATGTCATACCATCTGTCCCACTGTACCCCCTCAAAAATTTTGCTGCAGCAGCATCTGGTACTTTGGCGAGCTCTGCAGACAACTGTGGTAGCTTTGCAGCTGCCCTTAACTTTCCTTTTGTATTTAAAGAGTATTAAGACTTCATGCTCCATGTCCCTATAAATATGTTTTCCTTTACTGAAGTTTGGATACTGAGCAATTTGTAGGTTTTCCTGGTTTGCAGAATAAGTTACAGTGTATGAATTGCCTTGGGAACTTGCAGTTGCCAAACTGTAAAATGCAGCTCCCCCCTTCCCCCTTCGCTCCATAGCCACTTTTGGGCCCGGGAGAGAGACACCCTTTTGGGGAGGAGGACGCTTTCCTGGTTGCAGGAGAATCTGAGCCCTCAATTCCATAAAAATGTGGTTATTTCTACAACGTGGAACAACTCCAGCAGGAAAGACTGAGAGGAAACAACCCCAAAATAAATAATGACCCGGCCTCTAATGGTGGGGGTGGTTTTTCAAGCCCTTACTCTGAATGAGAGAGACCAGAGAGATGCTTGGGGGCATCTCACATCCCCAGGGAGAGCACAACTGCTGGGCATGCCTAGGCAGGCTGTGGGGGTGCTGGGAAGGGAAAGGCTTCAGTTTAATTTTTCTGAGTAGGCTGAAGTGCTTGTCTCTGCTGGGGAATTCTCATCATTCTCCTTGAAAAATGGAGATGTTTGCCTGAATGCAGATAGACTTCCATCGATAGCCTTGTTCAGGGACCCAGCCCATGCCCCATCCTACCGCACTTCACCCCTGGTAGCTCAGGAAAGCAAGAGGAGCAGACTCCCTTTCTAGTGGTTCTGGCAGTTCCAAGGTACATGGGGTGCTGATACATTTTACTGAGATCTAAGTTTTTCAGTAGTGAGCAAGACAATTAAGAAGTGCTCAATATGACTTTTTAAGTTCTATACTCGCAGCATTGCAAACTGAATATGTGTCAAAACCCCAAAACTTGGAACCATGATGCTTTCCTCATATTACTTTGCATTTCTTTGGCTTTTTTTGTTTTCTCATGTTAAAATCTCTCCTTAGTCCACTTTTACCACTGCTGGCTGAAGTGACCTGCTAGAACTGACCAGGAGCACTGTTGTGGTAGGCACTTGTGGTTGCCAACTAGTACAATGAGCTCCTGTGTCCTGTTTAGTTTGCAAGCAAAACCAGTGCTGGGGGAGGATGTGCTGGCACACTCTCCCCTATGAACATACATCCAGCTCCCAGACACCTGCTATTTCTCTGCCATGCCTGTTCTCTTCAAGGGAGAAACAGCTTCTTCGGGTCAGCTCTGCCCCTTTGGGGCTCCACATGCACTGACTAAAAGCTGGGCACATTTTCCACTTGTGCACAGAGGGAGCTGGGATAGCATTCTCTGAAAGAGGATGTAAGGGAAATCCATGGAATCAGTGATCTCAGATTTCAGCTTGCTTGTGCAAACACCTTAATAGGATGTTACACTTTCCTTTTTCCTTCCACAAAATTAAAAAAGAAATACAACCCTGTAAAAAAACATGGACTGTATCTCATTTTTGGCATACACAGATGAGTGTTCTCTGGTTCTAAATTCAGATTTTACTGTACTAGATGATTTTTTAATAGATTTCAATTTCATTTCCTAAGTGCAGAAATCTAGCCAGTCCATTTCCTTTTCCCCAGAGTTTTGGACATCTGCTAGAGAAGACTCTGCTCACACTGAAGGAAGGCTCTGAGTGGTTGTCCAATTCATTTAGATTTGTCATTTCAATTTGTTCATTCGGCAGGTACACTGTAAACAAAATGGCTTAAATGAGGTTTGCTTTGGGGTTTTAAATATTTTATTTGTGCTTAGCTTTTGGGAATTGCCCCTTATGTACAGCATCTGTTCAATGTGACAGGGTTTCTTGGTGTTTCTTGACTGCATATCAGCTTTCCTTTAACTGAGTTAGCGAAATGTTTTGTAATCTGCATAGTTAAAACCCTCAGTTCAATCCTGTCACTCTTGAGCTCCTTCACTCTGCACACTTGAGCAAGGGAGGTGCTGATTGACTGGTGGAGGGTCTTCGGGGTTCATCCTTCCACTTTCATTTTGGTTGGAGAAATGGCAGCTCTTAAAGGACCATACTGGACTCCTTAGGAGGCTGCTGTTGACTTCACTGGGCCAAGGATTTCCCTCAGGCAAGAAAGGCATTGCCAAGGTGATTCCTGTGATTGTAATGAGGTGCGATGGGATGAAGTTTAGAAATGGGAAATTGAAGTTGAATGTATTTTGGCAGAGATGGTCATCTCTGGAGCAAGCTCCCGAGGGAAGGGGTAAAAGTTTGGCTCTTTAATATTACATAGGTTGAAATACTGGAGGATATACAATGAGGACCATGTCCATAAGAACAGCAACACAGAGTAACTGGCCTTCTTGTTGCTGTCATTCGGGAGTGAAAAGAAAATCCCTTTCATCTCTTTTAGTTGGGTGGCATTAGCATATGCTATAGATAGAGGTTTGGGGGTTTTTAATAGATAAACAGGAGGTGTGTACGTGTGGACTCCGTGGCACAAGCAGAAATTCAGGCTCTGAGGTCACAGGACATTAAAAGCCACTGTTTAAAGAGGCAGAAATAGGCTTTCCTCATGAGCATGTTCATCTTGTTATGCTCGGCGAAGCGCTCTTTATCACCGTGCTGCCCCTGGGTCTTTCAGTGTAAATTACCCCCCTGAAGACGGCCGTGCTTTGGGGTTTGCAGCAGGGACACAGGTTTTTTTGATGCTGACCCTTGTTCACAAGGGTCTGTGACACAATCACTGAAGTTGTTCACGGAAATCATACTGCAGAAAATCACAGTCCCGGGAGTAATGTGTGAGTCATTTAATCCGTCAAAGAGCACACACAGACCTCTGCCATAACAAACCTCTGTTCTTTTCCTGCAGCACTGATTTTCCTGTTTCTTTCTTGCAGTACAATAAACACCTCTTCGTACACATTGGACACGCTAACCATTCTTACAGTGACCCGTTGCTCGAGTCGGTGGACATTCGTCAGATTTATGACAAATTTCCTGAAAAGAAGGGCGGTCTAAAGGAACTGTTTGGGAAGGGGCCTCAGAACGCTTTCTTCCTCGTAAAATTCTGGGTGAGTAAGACACGACGTGGAGGACCCCTCTTGTCGATGAGGCCTGTGTTTGGTGTTTAGTTTTGTGGAAGATTTCCCCGCTGTCATGCACGAGGGCAAAGCTGTTCACCCTTCAGGTGGGACGCTGGCCCAGAGCCACTCTTGTTGACAGCTCCCCGCAAGCGTGTGCAGCAAAGGCAGATGTGCCTCCACTCTGCTTGACACAGCTGCTGGGCAGGAGCCAACAGGTACCAAGAGCCCCCGTTTGGAAATGGGGAACTGCCATCTAGTGGTCCAAGGAAAAGCAGGGAAGGCGTAGGAACGGGGCCTGCTTTTTTAGCATTTCAGATGTTCAACTCCGAACGCAAGTAGTGCAAGTATCAGTCCTACCACCAGCCCACGCTTAAGCAAAGAGGACCAAGCAGGATTTGAACTGAGCCTGGAAGGATGCCAGGGGTTTTCTTAAACCTCTTATTTGTTTGTTTGCTACAGCTCGTCTGCTTTCCCCTTGCCTTTTTGTTAGTCAGCCATGGGACTCTGCTCCAAAGCTTATTCTGTTCATGTCAGCTGTGAGAAAGAGTGAAAAAATAATACAAATGGAGGGCTGACATGTTGAATATTGATCTAGTTGTGATGAACTTCATTGATACATCAGATTTTTCTTTGTGTATTTACAAAACTCATGTTAGCGATACAGTCATAGAGTCATAAAATCATTTAGTTGGAAGAGGCCTCTAAGATCATTGAGTCCAATCAGTAGCCTAACATGGCCAAGTCCACCACTAAACTACTAAAAGTTTCACCCAAAAGGATCAGCAAATCTGTAGACTGAACCTTATGCTTATGCTGAAGCTTTTTCTACTCTAATTTGTTGGGGTATCTTTTTGTGATATAGTCCTTTTCATAGCAACAATTATCATCTAAACATTTTAAATTTGTCTTTTAAAGCCTCAGTCAAAGGGACGTATTCAGGGTTTAATTGCAAGGTGGACAGGTTGAGGCTGAAAACAGAAAAGGTTGATCTGGAACCACTGCTTATGATCAGATTTCCTGGTGTTTATCCATGTGACTTGAAATACTCTGCACCTTGTAAATACCCCAGACTTCACATCTTTCCAAGAGTTTCTGTGGGACAAGATTTAGAACTGGAAACTGGACTGAGGGAGACTCTTTTCTCAAATCTGGGTGTAGAATGGCTAAACCAATGAGTAGGGGCTGTGCTGGACTGCAGAAGAAACCCGCAGAGGAATTCATGGGACTTAAAACTGGGCATGGGAGCTGTAGACCAAGTATTTGAGGGCTGGCTGAGCAAAGAGGCCAGGACAAGGAGACAGCAGAGAAGTGGGAGCTGAAACGCATCAGGCGTCAGTGACCTGGAACAGGCAGATGAGAATGTAGGGTCAAAAAGTGGGAGGCAGTGGGAAGAGAGAGCATTGGGATAACAATCCTGCAGGGAAACATAGGGATGAAGTCACACAGCAGAAACAGGTATGTAAGAGGTGGGAACAGGACAAGCATAAAGGCAGAAGAAATCTGGCCACAGAGGAATAGAGCTTGGAGTGAAGGGTCTGTGACCAGTAAATATATTTCCTTGCAAAACTTTGGCTTGAACTAAGAGCCATCATCTCACCCATCCACCTTGCATGATAAATACTTGTGAAACCTGCTGGTAAAAACTGAATGTCACCTCACTTGCCTGTTCTCATTTCCCACAGAGAATGATAAGCCTCAGACTTTATACTAGATGTGGATGCAGCAGAGATTTGTGATATGGTAATTGATGTATTCTACTTTTTCTCCATCTGGAAACTGATTTTCAGGCATGCTGAATGCTCAAAGATTAGTATCTAAAGCCAGTAGAGATCTTCTTTGGATCATTAAGGTCTGTGTTGTACTCCTGACTTTGACAATTCAAATGCCAGCCTTCTCTGCTTCATCTCCTACAAGCAGTGCACACCTTTAACACTCCTGTCTCGGTTTCTCCTCTGTAATGTGGGGGTGATACCACCCATTCACCTCAGGTGGTCACTAACAAATCAGACTCATGGCTGTTTATGAGGAATCGAGAGAATGCCATGCAAAAAAGACCTTTAAAAATTCATAATTCTGTGTTCAGCACAGGTTTTGAGTGGTATTCAGGAAACAGGGGCTGGGCTACAGTGAATAACAAAGACAAAGAAATGTTGCATAGATGCTCAGAGGGCATCTATGTGCAGTTGTGTAGCTAAAGACTATGACATGATACAGTTCAGCAGTCAGGATGTACAGGCAACTTCAATCCAACATTTCCTAACCTCACTGTGCCTTCCAACATAATGGTCTTTTAATACAATTTTGTGTTGTATTAACTTAAAGATTAAAAAACATACAGTGCTAACATCCTTCTGAGTTATACGTTAAAAATGTGGTGAGAATGCCTTCCTGAGCCATGACCTTACAATAGGCTGGTGGATTTTCTCTCTCATCAAGTGAGTGAGGCAGAGAGAGTTGCCTGGGGTAGTGTTTGAGTGTAGCAAGAGTCATGATGAATACTCTTCCAGGAATAAACTTCACAGGAGTGCCCCCCAAGTCCTACACATATCTAGAAATATGTGTAGGAAAAACAGAGGATGGCTGTGTAATTAGTCATGAGAGTTAGGTCCTAAAGTGTCAGCTCACTGTCCTTTATTTCTTTCACCCCAATAGGACTTTTCTTCAGCAAAAAGGATACTGTGCCCATTTATATGGGGAGTATTGAAAAACTGTTCTAAACAGTTATATATCAGCAGGGTAAAGCTGGCACAGATTTCTGACAATGTTTTTGACCCCGTTAGTAACTTCAAGTTTATTCATATGAAAATAGACTAATTTTTGGTTGAATGAAGCATCCTCTTCTGAATAAGTATCAACTCTGAAAGTTCATCTTCTCCCAGTTTCTGTTCATGATACGTGGTTATTTCTTAGCCCCAATACTCTCCTCACCATTTATTTTACCATTTCCCCCTCCCCATCCTTTCTGTTGTTTTCCTCCTTCACTATCATTTAGCCATCAGTAGTTTACTCAGCAGTGTAAGTTTGTGCATCCTGGCACCAGTGACAGTGACAGTCCAGGTTTTGGTGGAATCTAATTGTAACATGGGTGAAAAAGGAACGTGTGTTTTGGTTGGGCAAAATAGTACAGGTGTGAAAGCTCTCTGAGGAGAATCAATGCAAGGAAAACAGGGTCTGAGTGAAAGAAGTTGAGGCAAACCAGAGAAGGGAAACAGGAGAGTGTTGTGGCATGAGAAGCTTGAAAGTGAAGGTGAGAGTTCGATGCCAGAAGGGATGGTGACCGTGCAAATGGATTTAAGAGAAGCTGGTATGTCTCTGGAGGCAGCACAAAGGGTATTTTGCTCAGACATTAAACCTAGTGGGGAATGGAAAGATGGGAAACAGGAAGACTGCAGATGAGTACATGCACTGAAGATGACTAAAGCAGATAGCAGATGAGCTCTGGTATCTGGAAAGAGCTACTACCCTTGCTCTTTCCCATTTAGTTCTGCTTGAGGCTTCTCAGCAGCATGGTTTTCCCTGTTTTCTTGGTTTCGGTAATAATGTTTGATTACAAAAAAAAAGTGGGAGGGAAAGGTCTGAGGTCTTGCAAGAAGACATTTGGCACTTTTGTAGTTGACTTTGCAAGGCAGCACCAGAATGGATTACAAAGCAAAGTGTCCTTTGCTTTGCAGAGCTTTATTGGTTCATACAGATTGTATCTCACGTGAAATACAACCTGGTGTTGGGAATGGGTGAGCTTCTGGCCTCAGTCTTGTGACCCACACCTGTGGTCCTCTTCCTACCTAACAGTGCAGGAGGTCCTTATACACCACCTCAAACACCCAACCTTACAGCCCTGCAATGCAATTCCCTGGTCCTTGTCTTGCACCTTGAATGCAGTGACTCCGTTCCTCTGTCCTACCCCAGGTAGTCACTGGGAACTACAGAGCTTGGGAAAATCACTGCAGAGACAGACAATTACAGTAATAGATAGTGGGAGCTTTATGTGGTATATTGTGCACTCAGCATAATAAGGAACAACATCCTAATGATATGGCACAGGAAGTTTATGTGACAGTGATATGAAACTGGAGATTACAGGGCTATAAAATTAAAACGAAAATAAATATTCCTGAATTAATGTAAAAGTTATGTCCTAGAACACTGATGATGCAGAATTCAGAGAAGGCTGGTGAATATCCACAGATGAAACCTTTCCCTGGCTGCAGGCTGAGTGCACGGTGCTGCTTCTCTCACCATAGTCACTACCAAAATAAGCCCAATCTATGTAAAACAACCAGGTATGACCCATGCAGTTACCTTAGAGTAACATCAACAAACCTCTTGGTTAGTTCGTACTTAAACTGTTTTTGTGATGGGAATAGCCCCAAAGTTTTCTGGTCTTTGAAGTTCTGATTAGCCTGTCTAAAAGCTAAGTAAACACACTGTGCCTCTGTTGGTTTCTTTTATTGGTTAAAGTTCTACTCATGTTGATATCTAATGCTGGCCCCACTGATTACTCACTACTAATCTTAAATTCTCTAATGCTAAACAATACACTTAGGCCTCCTAAAGGAGTTCAAACGAAATGCTCAATTGCTTCTCCAGCTTTACCCCAAAATGTCTGTCTAAGACACTGTTGCTGGCCTTGCCTTTTTGGCCCATTGTGCTGATGCCCAGTGCTCTGCCCCTCAGAAATCCACCCTCCTGCTGATGGGCTGTTTATCCCACTCACACCACCTCCCTTTTGAATCCAGTGCCTCTCAGCCACATCTCCAACAGACATCTTCATTTTGACTCTGCTGTTATGCTCACATCCATCTCCATGATTCCAGCAGGCTCTGTACCTCCCTGCAGCTTTGCTGGCTCTGTAACTTGCCCTGTCTAGTGCTAGTTCATCAGACATCTGAAAGGAGAAAGGGTGTTTTCTCATGGATGACATAAGAAAAAAACAACTGATATAAATTAATGTTGGGCTGTCAGGCTTTCTATGGATCTGATTCCACTGA